TCGAGTCCCCATCCCCTGCTGAGGCCAGTCCGGAACTGCCTGGGGCTGCCCAGCAGCTGCTGGCGGGACACCAGTGCCCCAGCACCCAGCTCCGGGAAACTCAGTAACAGTTTTGTGTATTTTCCTTTATTCCTCTTATTATTAATATTATTAGTGTTATTAGTAAAGCTTTTTATATTCAGTTTGTAATTCTCTCTCCCTTTTTCTCCTTTTTCCCTTCCGCTGGTGGGAGGGCGGGGGTTAATATAGAGCATCTGCCACACTGTTTCTTGCTGCCCTGCTCTAAACGGTGATAGCTACCAACCCAGTTCTGAATTAATTTTATCTGTGTTTAATTAAGGCTTCTCTTTCTTTTCATTGTGAGCAAGCAAGGAGAAGAAGTAACGCTGCACAAGGGTAGCTTTGCTGTAAGCTTTACTGCAATGCTGCTGGCGGTTAGAATCTGTCAGAAGCATCCAGGAGGTACTCAATGCCCTCCTTTCCTACAACCTCACGACAGTCTAAAGGGATGATCTGTGATGCGTTGTCTACCTTTATCCTGCAACAAAACCCATGAATGTCACAGAACATGAAGAGCTTCTAAAGAGTTTGCTATTGAGCTGGAAAAATCTCAAGCTTCTAAATACGTGCACAGAAGCAGCACTGACCTTTGAAGGAAGCGAACAAACCTCATGCTATGCTCCGAGCAGAGTCTAGAACCTTAGTTATCACAAAAAGCAATACATCACAAGCATGCAAGGTCAGTGGATTCAAGCTTACTTCAGTCAACTGAAGATTTGTCACTGTTTCCAACAGCGAAGACAGATTAAACTTCTTTTCTTACTTTTTAAAATGAGTAAGAATACAAGGGTTTTGAAAATGAATCCAAACTGCTAGGCAATGCGCGTACACAAAGCTCACTTACTCTGCAATGGATCACCACCACGTGTTGAGGATCGTTGTTCAGCCATGACTCCATAGCCTTGCAGATGGTGCACACCTTATCGAGAGGCGGAGCATGGAGATCGGGCCACCCCACATCCATAATCTGCAATTAAACAAGTAACATTCACAAGAGACACCTTGACCCTAATACTACTACTAAAATCTGGCTCCAAATAACTGTGACAGTGAAGAATCTCCACATTTTTTCAACCCCAAATAATGCCATTCAAATGCCATAACGCAACTAAAATATGCTTACAGGTTAAAAACATGCTTACAGGTTAAGGGGAAGAAGGGGATCTGGTTTTTTCAAGATACTAGTACTTCTATAAAAACAAACAAACAAACAAGCCCCCCAAAACCCACCACCCACTCACAAGTGACATTTCTGAAGATCTTGATTTCTCAAAGAATTTTCAATTAGAAATTCAAGTATTTTTAACAGTAAAATATTTAGGAGGTCAAAATTAGTACAAAGAATGTTAACTGGCCTGGGCCAGTATTTTTTGATTGTTTTTATTTAACTTGCAATTTATTTCCTTCATGTGCAATAGATCTGACTTCTCAAAATTTTGTTAATATTTTCTATTCAACTTTAGTCACTATATAATTGCGTTCACTCAACCTATTGTTATTATATGCATATTTGACCCTAACAAAACCAGTAACCACGAACAGCTTAAATCCTTCATGATCAAGAAAGCATTCAAAGGGTCAAAATTAAGAGTTCTTTTAATATTTTCTCAGGTAGCAAATATCCCTGTAAATCTACTGCTATAAATATACATCTGTGCCACACTGGCCTTATAATAGTTGCTGAAGAGCACCTGCATATAATCTTCTACACTGACCAAATACAACTGTTGGCGAGGAAGAACACAAGACAGACACAATACCTCCCTTCCTTATCTCTCTATTGTGCAGAGAAGCAAATACGAAAAGGCACTAGAAAAGGGAAGCACTTATCTGAACCAAGTTCACCACCTTCAGTCACTATCAGACTGCACATCACAGGACAGTGTCCTGTGACTGCAGAAAGAAAGTATACTTGGGGTAAAAAATTTATATCACTCAATAGGAATTTTTCAGTAGTCACAAGGGGCTTCAGGTCATGTGTGCAAAGTCTAAGAAAACAACAGGAACAGCTATGTAAAGCACAGACCTAAGGGACACAAAACAGAACTTGGGAAAAAGTAAGCAGGGATGCACGTGGGGTTTTTTATCACCTTCCAAAAATTGTTCTCTTACTCTGCATATCAACGTTTGCATAGCCTCAGGGTTTATCATGCCATCTAAATTGTATTTAACACTACAAAGAGAGGAGTGTTATGGGAGACAACCAATACCTTTGGGTTAAGCTTGGCAAGGTCATATCTCTTTTCAGAGAGGTTTAACACCTGTTCAGGAAGAAAAAGAATATCAGCCATCAAGACATCATGACTCATGTAGTAAATAACTGTATAACACATGATAATTGATAATCACAAGAAACCACAGTGGTAAGGCTTCAGGTTGCTACTAAAGTAGCATTTTACATCAGGTAGCACTAGCAAATGTATTTTAGGTATTCAATTATTATATAGTGAAAGTTAAGATGAAACTAAATGCATATTTTGAAAAAGGACAATTAAAATTCTGCTGCCTTCTACTTATTTCACATGGCTTTATTTTAGTCAGAGGTATACTGAGAGACCTGGGCACCATGCAAAATAACTGCACAGCATAAGAATTTACAAAGAAAAGTCTGGGAGTGTGATACAGTCTTAAATCTTTGAATCCGAGTGCCTGGCAAGAAAGTATCGGTCTATCAAAACTTCACAGGGAACATACGGCATCGCTATTTGACTGTAGCTTAGCCTGTGAGATCTTCCAACTCTTCTGTTAACCCATTAGACAGTAAATTATCATACACTTCATGCTTAATAAGGAACAGTTACAGAGATAGACTGCTAAATGAATATACAGAAAAATAAAAATAAAGCAGAATAAAAATAAAGCAGTGTATACAAGTATATCTGACTTTTTCATTAGGAAGTACTCAATAACAAAAAGCCGAATTCTCAATACTCAACAACTGAAACAATACTACTGAGGCAGATTCTCTTTCATAGTGCAGCTATTTCATATCACAATGACCAAAGTATAGATGACATGCATAATAATTTTAAAAGTCTCATTACACTGCCAGAATGGGATAAATAGACCACAAGTATGAGAAATACTAAATATAAGAGATAAATCCATTATACAGTTTACTACCCAAGGACAAGTTAAGAATCCTTTTCTAAAGTGTATCATCCCGTTTGGCATTAACCAGCATGTTCATGAGCAGTCTCAGCAAAATAGCCAAGAACTGAACAGGCTAAAGAAAGGACATCATTTCAATTCTGGGAGCTGGTGCCTGCTCCTCACTAATGTCGTACATGAGTAAACTGAATGTGCAACCCCATGACAGACACAGTGGAAAGAGTCAGACATTACACCATCTTTAGAAAGAAGTACGCTTTTTGAACATGACATTCATCCAGAGAAAGAAGACACCCTCAAATTATCAAGGTAGCCATCAAAACAGCTTCTATTTTAAGCTGCATAAGGCTCTAGAATCACACATAACATTGACCATAAAGGGTATACACCACTTTCATTGATCTCATCCCCCAAAAGAAAGCATAAAACACCTTTATATGACGAGGAACATTATTCCAATATGTTGTCTGCATTTCAAACAGATCACTGCTGAAGAGCTAAACGGCAATCACAGAATCACAGAATGTTCAGGGTTGGAAGGGACCTCTGTGGGTCATCCAGTCCAACCCTCCTGCCAAAGCAGGGTCACCCAGAGCAGGCTGCACAGGACCGCGTCCAGGCGGGTCTTGAATATCTCCAGAGAAGGAGACTCCACAATCTCCCTGGGCAATCACAAATTCATTATGCACTGTCCACATTATTTTGGATCAGGAAGATGTATCAACATTTACAATTAAGACTATAGTTGTCCTTCCAGAAACACCAACTGTAATTTAACAGGAATTAAACCAGAAGTGTCTTCTATAAATGACTCATATAAATGACTTGCAAAAAATCCTGTAATTTTCTATCAATTTTAATAATTGCAAAACAAATTAGTGGAGAGTTGTATTTCTCAGTACAGAATTCTTAACATACCTTTAACACTAATTTTAAGAGATGAATTACCTAAAATCTTTCACAGGAAGAAAGGTGCTATTTGGTGAGAACTTTTTTTAATTCCTCTTTCTTGTTGCATTTATACCCAAGACCAGTTTAAAATTCCTGCGTGTCAGGACACAGTCCTATTCATGGTAAGTATTTGTCACTGCTGGATTAGATGCCAAACTCAAAGCTGCTGTTGTACCCAAGTCCCTGTCAAGCTACAGAGTTCAAACCGAGATACTTCAGGAGTCCTATCAGCGCAGAGTAGAGACCAGAAGGTACAGGAACGAACGTTTCGTATACAACAACAAAACAAGAGGTCACAGAAGTCTCTGAAGAGAAGCATATGCTATAAACAGATGTCAGTGGAAGATTAACTGCATGATTTTTAGCTCCTTTTTGGTATATTCTAGGTCTACTTACTTACATTTTCATACAAGAAAGAGGAGCATTCGCCTTTAGTTCTACAGAACTTCAACCATTTTGCCCTAAATTTTAGGACCTCATTTAAAGAATGAAATGAAGCAAGACAAAACAAGTGGGGAAAAAGAAACCCTTTCTCCTTGCACACCTGAGAGAGGAAACACCCTTGCCCTCTTCCTATATGATTTAACTCCGAACTGGGAAGCAACTTCTACTATCCAGATAATATTAATCCTCTCACTGTGCTGAATGCTGAGCAACACCACAGAACAAAAATAAGGCGACATTTCAGCTAGAAAAAAGACCTTTATGAAGGTACCAAAGGGTCTTAGATTTGGTCTGCTCCTTAATCAGATGACCAGAAATACAAAATCTCATGCAAAGAACAGAAGCCAACAGCACGTATCTGGCAATTTTGTAAAGCAAAAGATATACCACAGCCATACAACAAAAAGTACTGACTGGGGAACAGTTCACCGGCCTGCAGCCCGTTCCATTAAGGAGAAGAGACTGGGAGAGCAGCAGGCAAAACTCTTCTACCAGGTGGGACCAAACTTGCTTGCTGCAAACAGTGGTAGCTTTGTGTTGAGTAAAACACAGGGCAAAGAGGAAGGTGGCCAAAACATGACATAAGCTAAAATTACCAAACAGTTCCAATCAGTAAAGCAACAGCAACACGCAAGCATTACCATATAATTTACATACGCAAGACCACGAAAATGCACAGCAGTTATATTACTCTAACCTAGTAACAAATACGTATAAGCTAAGACTGCAGGGTAACCACTGAAATATTTGGATAAATTGCAGCTGTGTGTTTGGGGTTCATTTCACTTTCAGAACAGAACTGACCATGAATTTAGACACTGGTATTTACTGTCAGATTCCTAATACCTTGGACATAAATGAGTTACTGTTCATCAGCTGTTCTGCATTCCTCTACGTAGATACCCCTCTAACTAGAAAGCTAATTTAGAATAGTTTACGCCTCAAAAAACAGAGTCATCATGGATACAAAAATGTAACTGAAGCATACTAGTACCTAGATAGAAATAAGGTAGGTAACCCTGCTCATTTATCACTGCTCTAAGTCAAAATGAAGTTAACATGCTTACATAAGTCAACATGCTTACAAATATCTGCAGGGTGGGTGTCAGGAGGATGGGGCCAGACTCTTTTCAGTGGTGCCCAGCAACAGGACAAGGGGCAACGGGCACAAACTGAGGCACAGGAAGTTCCAGCTGAACATGAGGAAGAACTTCTTCACTCTGAGGGTGACGGAGCACTGGCACAGGTTGCCCACGGAGGTTGTGGAGTCTCCTTCTCTGGAGATATTCAAGACCCGCCTGGAGAAGGTCCTGTGCAGCCTGCTGTAGGTGACCCTGCTTCAGCA